CAAAATGTGTGGTTTTTACATGATGGGGCACCCCCCCCATAATGCTCGTGAAGTGCGGGATTGGCTTGACCATAATTACAACCAACGTTGGATTGGTCGCGGTGGTCCTGTTTTGTGGCCTGCCCGGTCACCAGATTTAAATTCTTGCGATTTCTATTTGTGGGGCCATTTGAAACAACTAGTTTACGCCACACCGGTCGACAGTGTCGAAGAATTAGTGGATAGAATAGAAAATGCTGCTCAAACTATTCGACAAAACCCCGCCGTTTTATCAAGGGTTCAAGAATCGCTGATTCGACGAGCTAGAGCATGTCTCGATAATAACGGTTTACATTTTGAACAGTTTCTTTATAACTGTTTACGAAGTTTTATTTCTATGAACTATTAGCAATAATTGCAGCAACAAGTTTTAACAATCAGGTTGCTATGCATAATAATTTTTACCTGTAGGTTGTTGGTAAGGTAATTTTGTGCATATCAATGGCGCCGAGTGGGGTCAGGATTGTGGAGTTTTTACCTCTGCATTAAAATTAATAAAACAAAACGAAAACTTCTTCTACACATTTTCATGAAGCCGTGTTTTTTTTTCCACCTCTATTTCAAAGTCACCCTGTATGTAACGTCGTTTTCGTTAATTCACTATTAAAGTCTCTCCAATTGGTTACAATCGTCCGACTTGTCAAAAGGGAAAATATCAAAAGATGTCACTCCCTTCGGGAGTTACAGGAACCTGTAATTAATCCGTTTTGTCACGCGCCAAAACAGTTTGTGCTTGAATTGATATTATCAAAATGTCCAAAAAATATTGCTCTGCGCCTGCTTGTGGGATAATCAAGGATCCTAGAGACCACAAAATAATGCACAGATTCCCTTCAAACACTGTGAACATAAGGTTGTGGTGCAAAAAGGTTTTTAATGCTAGAAGTAGGTACCCCCACATGAATATTTTATAGAGATGTACCGACTACAGTCGGCCGACTAGTCGGCTTTGTCAAAACCGGTTAAAATTGGTTTAATCGACCGAAAATTGGTGTCAAAGTGTAAATAATCTTCCGCTAGTTACGATTCTGAAATCGCCGTCACGATATCTGGTCCAATAAAGACGCAAAGCGAATTCAAAATTTCCAAAAATTTTCCAAAAAAGTGGTTAAAATTGGTTAAGTATTGTATAAACTGCCCTAAATTGTGTTATTCTTTATTTTTGTACTGAGTTACTACAAAAAATTAAATGTTAAAATTATCCAAACAAATTTAACACATTTTTTGGAAAACAAAGAAATTTTAGTTATTCCTTTTATTAAAATAAAACAAGTTTTTAAGGTAGTCAGACAAATAGAAAAAAAAAACACACTGTCTGTTGCATTTATAAACCGGTTTTAGCAAAGCGGAACAGCGGCCCACTACAGTCGGTACATCTCTAATATTTTACCTAAGGGAATGTATACCCATTAAAACTATTTGTGCTATTTTTCTGGTTAAATGTCGCTTGATTTTTATTAAACTTTATCTACAGTGCTTGTGATCTCACCTATAATTCATTGTGTGTGTTTTTTTTTTGGTCTATTTAATTGAGGTGCTTTTTTTTATCTCCATTGCAGCAAGGTAGGATTTTTCCATACTTTTTCTTATCAGTTTGATACAAGTTTTTCTAATAGCAAGTCGTCGGTGTTAATAGTGTTCCCGCCTAAAATGAGTGCATGCGCTAACTGTCCGAAACCGCTCGGCAACGAAGCGAGCATCACCTGTGACAACTGCAATAGTCGCCTGCATGTTGTTTGCACCGGACTGCAAAACGATGATCGAATTACAAGGAATAAAGTACGCAATGTCAAAATTTATTGTAATAGATGTACAACTATTGCTGAACAACGTACAGCATTACCACAGCTATTTGATAACCTAGCCGAAGACCTTGTTAGCAAACTTGAGCAAAAAATTAATGATAAATTTGCCGCCATTAAAGAGAAAATAAACAATTTGCAGTCTTCGCCTTCTAACCCGGAATTGTTTGAAGAAGTTGCGAATGAGGCTGTTGAACGAATTATTCGCTCAAAAAATGTAATTATACGCGGTCTTCCTGAAAGTGTTGGAAACGTGGAAGCTAAAATACAAAACGATACAGTCAAAGTTAGTAACATCCTAAAAACAATATCTACAGATGCGATTCCTGAAAAGGTGATTCGTCTCGGTAAACCTAGCACGTCAGCACGTCCCATTAAAGTTGTTCTCCCTTGTGATGCTATTGCCAAGAATGTTCTTAAAAATAAAACAAAAATATCCAATTCTGGAATTATTGACAATATTTCTATCAGCGATGATAAGACACCAAAACAAGCTGCGTACCTGAAATCTCTCAATTCTCAACTGAAAAACAGGCGTGATAATGGTGAAATTAACCTTACCATAATAGTTATTTATGTTACAAGTGTTGAAAACGGTCCATTGCATTACGAACGGGAATACGGCGCGAGACGCAGTCGAGCGCTGTATGTAAGTGAGTAATGCAATGGAGTTTTCACACGAGTATCATACAATATTTTTTGCGCTGCCTTTTTGAAAAAATAACATTTTTCAATCGCTACAAGAATAAATATTACTGAACCGAAATTATGTTGGTATTGAATTTATCACCAAATACGTCAAATACCAATCTGTCAATTTGTCCGGGCTAGATTTTGAATTTCAAAGTTGAAATGGAAATTCGTGCACGTATTCAGAGAACTGCAGATAAAGCAACTGCAAATTTGTTGCCTGCAAAATCCGCAAATCCCTATGAAGCCGAATATCAAAAATGCATCAAGTGGTGCGAAGAAAATAAAATACGCGAATTTTCTGAAACGACGCTCTTGGTTTATTTCCAAATTAAGTCGGAAATTATTAAAGCATCCACACTGTGGACAATATATTCAGTTCTGAAAAGTACTCTTGGCATCAAACATAACATAAATCATTCAAAATTTTATAAATTAACAGCGTTTTTAAAGCGGCAGGATGACACAAGCCCAAGAAGTCTGAAATACTTACCAGTGGAAACATTTTTATATACGGCTCCAGATCAGAGAGAATCTTGTGATTATGATTCAGCGTGAGGTTGCGAATAACGTCAAGTTTAAACGGTTTTTTTAATTAACAAGAACTACTAACAAACAGTAATAACATGATAGTTGTCAACAACATAAACCAAACCACCGATTAGTGTCAACTGTCAAGTTACTACAAATCTAAATTTTGATCAACAAATTCCCCTATTTAAGATTACAACTTAAATTGCACTGTTTTTAAATTTCGGGCCACTTTTCGTTATAATAACTTTAGATACATGATTATCAATTAGTGGTAATTACTTTGTGATAATCAATTTATTTTTTCAAAGCTTAAATTCCTCGTTTGTATTTTGCAACACTATAGGGGCCGGTTTATAGAAAGCGAATTAAATATTTAACAACGTGTTAAAAGTTAACTCAGGATTAGTTTAATTTTTTGACGTCACCAACCATGATTAAACGTACAGTTAAATATTTAACACAGAGTTAAATTAACATTGTGTTAAATTGACATTTGGCGTAATTAACTCCAAAACGGGTTTACAGAAGCCGAATTAAGGTCTAAACGCGATTAACTTTTCGTTAATTGCTCGATTAACTTAATCGCACGCCGTACTTCAATTAAAAGTTAATTTGACGTTTCTGTTTTGCAAATAGCGCAAAAACAATTTTGTTATACAAAAATTACAAGCGGAGATAGGTAAGTAATAGATGCTAATTCATCAATAAGAATCTTTATTGGAAAAATAAAATACAAACTTACGCAATTATTGTCATAACATTATTACTAGGATGTTTGATTCGGATACATCGTTGTCATCTTCTTCGGATGAAGAAATCGAAAGAATTCCCAGAAGACGTAACCTAAAGAACAGAACGAATCCGTTCGAAATATTCGACGAGCAAGAATTCAAAATGCGTTTTAGGTTTCAAAAACAAACAGTTTTGTGGTTAACAGATCTGATTGGAGGGGATTTACGGCCTCAAACACGGAGGCGGCAGCCTATTTCCGAACTTAATCAAATTTTATTAACGCTGAGATTTTTGGCCACCGGGACATTTCAGCAAGTAATTGGCGATTTATTTGGTGTACATAAATCGACTGCTTGCGTGATTATCCAACGTGTTGTTCGGAAAATAGCGGAATTAAAACCGCATTACATTCAAATGCCAACTCCGGAAGAACTACAAAGCATAAAATTGAAGTTTTATCGCTTAAGGAGAATGCCTCGTGTAATAGGCGCTATCGATGGCACACACATACGCACACAGTCTCCTGGTGATCCACAAGCGGAAATATTTCGTAATAGGAAGGGCTACTTTTCCATAAATTGCCAGGCCGTATGTGATGCGGATCTAAAAATTAGAAATATTGTCGCTAGATGGCCAGGAAGTGTGCACGATAGCACAATTTTTAATGATTCATCTTTGTGTGCCCGCCTTGAAAATGGTGAATATGGCGAAGATTTTTTGGTAGGTGACAGTGGGTACGCATGTCGTCCATTTTTGTTAACATCATTGGTGAATCCAAGAACACCGGGAGAGCAAGCATACAATGATGCTCATAAGGCCACCAGGAATCCTATTGAAAGGTGTTTTGGTGTGCTGAAGCGACGATTTCCGTGCCTTTCTGTTGGATTGCGCACCAAAATGGATACAACACTTGCAACTATTGTGGCATGCGCTGTGCTACATAACATAGCAATTATGGCTAAAGACGACGAACCACCAGTGGATCCCGCAGTACACATACCTCAAGAAGTTGAAGTGGAACCTGCACATATTAGAGAAAACCACCATAACGAAAACACGGCTGTTCGTAATGTTTTAATTAGAACGCATTTTAATTAAAAAGGTTAACAACACTTACAACTGGTTTAGATTACACTTCTTAACTATAATAAAAGAACAAAAACTATAACTTTTAACTCAAAAAAAAAAAAAACAAATAATTGATTAACTGATTTTGGCCAGCTCTTTTTGCTTAACTTTAATTTCCAAGTTATAAATTTTTTTTTTGAAATTGATTTCCATATTGGCCAATTGAATTTTTTTTAAATAATAAAGCTTCTTCAATTGGGCCGTTGTTTTTTTGTTGGTGTTTATTTTCGGTCTTCCAGGCGGGATATATTTTTTTCTAGCGCGACGCTGAGGACTAGGAACGGTTGGGCTTGGTTCCAATGGGAGCTGTAATTGGGAATGGCTAGGTCCTGCCACTGGTTCTAAGGAGAGCTCTATGGTAGGACTGGGAGTTCGCGATATACTCTCGTGAGTTGGGATCAATATTACATCTAGAAATATAATAGCAAGTTATAAATAGATTCAATATTAAGACTTTAGTGTGAAAGATCTAAAAGTGGGTTTACATATACGATTCTTACTAAAATATATCCTACAAACATACACAATTGACTTAAGTTCATTTTTAAAAAAATTTAGAAATACCTACAGGTTTTTGGAAAACTTTTTTAGTACATGGTTATTAATTAAAACAAACTAACTAATAAGAGAATTATTACTTATTGCCATTGTTTTATAACGATAAATAATATTACAGACAAAAAAACCCAAATATTTTAATTTTTTTAAAGAAATATCCTTTAATTTAAAACGTGATCTTTAATAAAATCGGCAAAAGATGACCCAAATTACATCCGGTAAAAATTTCAACTTTGAATCTTTACTCACACATAAGCTAACACGGGCTATAAAATTTAACATGGGAATCCCTGGAGCCCCTTTTAAAAAAGATGCATTATATATACCTGTCCTATATACATATATATACAGGGTTTTTTTTAAATAGATGGAAACTTTTTTTAAGGTAATTGGTCATGATGTAGAGAATTTATGCATCAAATATTGATCTAATAAAAATCCTTTAGTTTTCGAGATAAAATTGATTGAAAATCTGTTAAAATTTGCGTATGCGCTACTGATTCCGAAAATGTTAAAGGTAAATTTGATCACTATAGTAATTTAAAGTAGGTAAAATTGTTGCTTGTTAACATGACAATACATTCATTAGCCCATCATTTTTTGACGTTTTTGCAATTTTTTGGAAGAACAAAATGAATTTTTCTAATTCTGAAATGACTGACATGGTTCTGATGTATGGACAAGCCTTAGGAAACTCCTTGGAAGCTCGACGTTTATACCAAGAAGCATTTCCCGAACGAAGATTGCCAAATCATAAAACATTTGTGAACGTTGTTCAGCGTCTACGAGAAAATGGGAAATTTCAACCTCGTTTTAGTGATCGTGGTCGTGAAAGGACAGAACGGACACTTGATGCCGAAGAAGAAATTTTGAATGTCGTTGAAAACGATCCAGGTACACATAAGCATTAGACGATTGTCTTACCGAGTGGGAGTTTCACCTTTTGTGGTGTGGAGAACTCTACATGAACAAGGCCTACACCCCTATCATGTACAACGAGTTCAGCATTTGAAACCAGAAGATCTGCCACGTAGAGTTCGCTTTTGTGAATGGCTATGCCAAAAAAATAGAGAGGACCCTCAACAGAATAACAGATATAGCTGCTGAAATTAGAGCACATCCCGAAATGATAACCAGAACCCAACAATCATTGATTAGACGTGCGGAAGCGTGTATACGAAATGGTGGTGGACATTTTGAAAACTTGCTCTAGTTGCATACGTTACGTTTTGTTTCATTTTATGGTTGATTAAATTATGATTTTGAAGTTTTAATTGTCAGTTCATTAATTATTGTCATTGTTTATTTGTTGCTAGCAATAAATTAATAGCAACAGTAGTTACACCTCGGCAGTTTTCAGTTACTAGGTTTCACATTTTTTCGTGAAACCATTATTTATCAGTGGAGGAATGAATGTTTGGATAGGGGTTAAATTTTCCTTTCAAAATTTTACTAAAACAACAAACGTTCATTTGACTTCTTAGGTTCCCTACATTCACCAGATTTTTTGTTTCCATGTATTTCAAAAACACCCTGTATATGTGTGTGTCTATATACTATTTATATGAAATTTGCTTCATATTGTTAATAATACAACTACTACTTCCTGAAAATTTTGAAATAATGCTCAAAAAAAAAACAAAATTATGTAACATTACGATAATTTATTATAGTTGTATTAATAAATATGAGCAAGAATAAAATCATAAGAATAAATTAATGTCATACCTCTGTGGTAGATATTGTCATCATCGTAGATGTTGGCTAAGGGTTTGGCTTGGGATTCTATCATAGCCAACAGTCGAGCATCTACCTCTGTCAACTCGGATGGCTGATATTTTCCTCCACCTGTTTTTGTTATGTGCTTCTAAAATAACAAAAACAAATTTATATTTAAAATAATTTTTTGTACGACCATTGCTTATTCGATCATTTACCGTACAAGTTTCCATAGCAGTAAGTTCAGTTTACGGGTTGCTACGACTAACAACCAAGAGGCGAACGGTAAGTAATCATGCATAAGATTTTTTTAATTTTAAATTCCATGTTTACTCGACTTCGATATTTTCGCTTTCAGAATTACTCATGATTGATATTTTACGCAAATAAATCACTCACTAATAGTCGCGGAAAGAAAATTAACTCCAAATAGAGCCAGATCAAATCTAAATCGACAGAGGTCAAAATGGAAATTGATTTTTAAAATTGTTGTTAATATTAAACGAAACCATAGTAACAAATTTTAAATTAAAAAAAGACCTTGTTGATGTTCAATATAAATTCTTTCAATTTATGGATTTGATAAAAAGACGCAAATCTTTTGATGGTCGTACAAAAAATAGTATAAGCATCACGAACGTTAAGGGGGTTTAGCTTCGCTCCGTCTCCAAACTTTTGTCTTCGACCAGTAAACACCCCTTACCGTTCTTAATACTTAATATACTATTGTGAAATAAACCTTCTCCTCTCTTCTTTTTTTTATTAATTGTTCCACATCCACGTCCTCGTCGCATTCTTCATCTATATATCTCCTTTTCTGAACATATAATTAAAGTGTGAACGTAATGCCAGCTTTCATTCATACATACATACATTCACCGCAGCAACTGTCTTCTTAGCCACCCTTTTCATGTTCGACCATAAAAATTTGAGCTGCTGGGTGGTTCTCGGTCCTGATGACGACATGGCGTTGAACTCTTCAACTGCTTGATCCCAAGCCTTCCTTTTCTCTTTCAGAGATGTCCCATCTGTTTTTTTGTCCTCCAGTACGGGGCGAAATCTGCAGGATAAGGTAATGATAGGACAAGTGTGGAATTGGGAATTGGGAGGGCGAAATAATGAAATTCAAATCAGGGTTCACAGTTGATGAAATTAAAGGGAGGGGAAGCTTGTTCTTCTAAAATTCATTAATTAATTTATGGTGACTAAAAATCAGTATATATATGAGAAACACATTATGTGATAAACCAGTGCAATACTGATATATAACTATATGTACAGGGTCATCAAAATTGATTGAGAGAGTTGGTACCCCCTGTTTTTGTCGTGAAGTTTGTCAACCTTATGACAGATTTGTTTAAGGTTATATGGCAATGAATTCAGTGGCGTGACAACAATTAGAAACTTCAAATCTGACAACTAATGTTTTTACCAAAAAAAAAGTCGAAAAAAGACGCCACTGAGTTTTGAAATTTGAAACTTCAAATCTGACAGCTAATATTTTGATACAACTTAATAAACCAAATTATTCAAGTTCAGGTTTACCAACTCTCTCAATCAATTTTGATGACTCTGTATAAACAAGAAAATTTAACCTAAAAAGAAATTAACACATGGACACATACCTACCAATTACACAAGTTTAATTTCAATGATACCCACCGTTCTAAAATGGTGAGGGCGATTTCTTTTTCTTGCTCCGTAAAGTTCTTGCCCCTTTCACGCTTCTGCTCCATTTTAAAACCCAGGAAACAAACTTCCACACAAATTTAACCTCTCGCACCGGTACAAGTTTTGACAGTAGTCAGACTTATTAATACAATGAACTTAGCCGTTGACAGCTGAGCCCGTTACACACGGCGCAAATGTCACTTTAATTCGAATTAGTTAATCACGCATTTAATTTCATCACAAAATGTTCTATAAACCACAGTTAGTTTAACAGCGTGTTAAAATTTAATCTAGGATTAATTTAACGCGGTGTTAAAGTGTTTTCTGTAAACCGGCTCTAGATCCTTGTTCATTGCCATTGCGACACGCCACGTGTCAACGTAAAATGTCAATTACAACTATGGCAGCGCAAAAAATATGTTAAAGGTATAGTCAGGATCACGAAGCAATGCGTCACGTCACGGACTCTGTATGACGTCATGCGTCTACCACGTTTATCATACAAATGAATCGGTTTGAAAACTGTCAACAAACATGTCGGCTTGTTATTGTTTTGGTTTGTTCTATTTATGATTATAGCATGAGAAGACCGTTAGTGTGAAGCAACAGTTAAGAAATAAGCTACACTTGCAGTCTTTCAGCACACAAGGGCATGCTGCAGGCTGCATAGATGCTATGAACTACAAACTCAGGCACAGGAAAGATCATGACTGTAACCCCTTTCACGTGTTCCTAGTCACTGAAGCCTGCCACTCACGTTCCAACGCCGCGGTACAATTGTGTAGGATATGACGAAATTGAAGTGTTTTTGAACGTCTGTGTATGCGACAAGCAAATCGGTTGGATGTGGACGGTTGGTGAACAAGTCTGTCTGCAGCAGTACAATCGTGTTGTATTGGATGGAAATTTGATCGTGTGGACAGTGTACGTTATACAAACCGTGAAAGCAGGTATAAAAGTCCATTCGGACATGTTGCCACCACGATCGCAAATTTTTAACTGCAAGGTCGCAACGTGTGTGTACTGCTGCTTGTCAGCAGAATTGTACACCAGTTGTATCCAATACAATCGTACCCCGGCGTTGGAATTTGAATGACTGGCTTTAAGAACGTTCATTTTTGCATTGACTGCTGGTAAAAACTGTTGACAATTGGGTGCTAAACACATACTTGGAGGGTGGTACAAGGCTTCATACTGTACTTAAAGCTACCAACGAGAATGTTAACATACGTCTCAAACAGACAGCACTGAACAGTTGTGACAGGCTTCAAGTTAGAGAAATATGCTTACCGTCTCCAATGCCACAATAGGCACGTCACATCTACAGAATAAGTTACTTTATTGACATGGAATAGATACAAAAGTAAAGTATAAACAATAATAAGTATGCATGTTGCACAACGTCGTCGTCTGACCAGTGATTTGTATATTTGGCCAGTGAAGTGATAGTGTGATTATAAAAGACATCAGCAGAACATGCCGCTAGTACAATCAATTAGGATGGTAATGGAAAATAACCTACATGTTACAGTGGCTGAATGCTCTCTGCAGTATTAGAATCTTCACTGTCATAATCACTAAAACTATAATCTGAATCTTCGTTAATGTCGATTATAAACGGCGCAATCTCTTCACGGTCAAATACTAATTCCCGTTCCCACCACTCCCGTATTATTTTATTCATATGGTCAACAGTATATTATTTATAGATCTGGAGGGTGTCGCTTTGATCTAGGGTAATCCAGCCTGTTCCTATGTTTTAAAAGATTAGTAAAGGCTTTAAATATTTTTGCCCCTGTGATAATAAAGTGGCCAAGTGAAGAAGAAAGACAACGTAATATTGCACGATTTGATGGTATGGCCGGAATGCCAGGTATTGTTGGAGCAATTGATGGAACCTACGTCCCCATTAAAGCCCCATCTGTAAACCCTGAAGTATATATTAATCGCAAGTGTTTTCACGGCATAACGTTGCAAGCAATATGTAACCATCAGCGGCGATTTATAAATGTATTTACTGGTTACCCAAGCTCTGTTAGTGATGTCAGAATTTTTCTCAATTCTGACATATACCAGCAAATACAAGCAAATTTGAACAATTATTTTGGAAATGGCACTTTTGTCATTGGAGACAAAGCGTATCCAGTGACGTCTTGGTGTGTGCCACCATATATTGATCGAGACAACCTTACAGCAGCTCAAAGATATTTTAATAGATGTCATGGGTGAAAGATGAAGGAAAGAACTGTTGTACAATGTGCATAGAACTGCTCAATGTAGAATTATCAAGATGAAAGAACAACTGGCCAAAGAACGAGATCAAGTAAAAAAGTTGAGAAAATTGTATGAAAGTAAACAACTTGAGGTCATTGACAGTGAATTAAATACAATTAATAAAACTTTTATTAATTGTCAATTGGAAAATCATTTGAAAATGTCAAGTGGCAAACGTTATACCAAAGAAATGAAGCTCTTCGCCTTGACAATATACAAGCGTAGCGCTCGTTTGTATAAATGCATGCAAGTTCATTTCGAGTTGCCGTCACCACGACTTTTAAAGCGGGTTCTCAATGTTAGTTATAATAGTTTTTCATACCGGGTTTAATAATAATTTGCTTCAGTGTTTGAAAGTATAAGTACTTAAAATGCAGGAGTTGGACCAATATTGTACATTAATGTTCGATGAAATAAAATTAAGTAGCATATTTCATTACGAAAAGTATCGTCAAATAATCATGGGATATAAAGACTTGGGTCATCTTGGACGATTCAATAAGAATGCCGATGATGCCTTAGTCTTTATGGCGCGTGGTGTTCGTAAACGTTGGAAACAGGCAATTGCGTATTTTTTTACTTGTAACACCATTCGAACTCCACATTTGAAACAAATTGTAGTAAGATGTGTTCAAGAGCTTCGTTCCATTGGTCTTAACGTTGTCACAACAGTGCTACGAACAGAGCTGCAATGTCTCAGTTGTGTGTGGGAACAGTTAATGATACCCCATGATACAATAAATACTAGGTATGATATTGCGCACGTACGGAGTGGGGGAGTGACGTCACTCGGTGAGTAAACACAGGCATTTCGCGCATATTCTGCAACGTTTTTCTATCTTACACGTATTTTTCAGAAGGTTTAGTGGATACACGTTATGTTTTAATAATTTGATAAAGTTACAACGATGCGTTGTGGCGTTTTTGGGTGTAATAGCGATAAACAATCAAAACATTTTCAAAAAGACATACAATTTTATTCGTTTCCAAGGGACAAGTATGGGTTATTTCTTGTCGTTTGGACTCTTTTATAGTAAAAAATGCAAGAGTGTGTTCACAGCATTTTAGTGAAGACGATTTCGAGCGAAATTTGCAACACGAACTTCTGAATTATCTTTCTAAAAAAGGAAAAAAAAAACACTAAAGTTTGGAGATCAGCCAAGTTAGTTAAAGACATTTGTTCTAGGGATGAAATCGCAGAAATTAAGTAGGTTATTTTACTTGAATATTGATATAAATCAAACAAATTCAATTAAAAAAAAAGTTCCCAAAGAACATCTTATAGTACATACTCTTTTTTAGCAATTATTTTATATTTTCATTTATTTTATAGCACTGAAACCAATGACGCAAATGCTACTTCGGATGATAAAACAGAATCTACAAGTGAATCTGTTGGGTATATTGAACATTTATTGTATTTTCAACAATTTTCACTCCAAGACAAATCATCGAAAAATTGTTAATTAACATGTAGATTACAGTTCAATAGTACATTGTACTTATTTTTAGTGGTTGCTTTTTCTTGTACTCAGTTTTTGAAAGTTTAGAACAGAATTTCTAAAGTAGATTTATATTTAAGATAATTATGTTCACGTTAAATGTGCACAATTACCATAACAACAACTCTGTTCATGATAATCAAATAAAAACCTAAAAAAGCAAAAAATCGATAATTCTGAAGCTCTTGGCATTTTCAGATAATCTGTGCGCTACTAACGAGAAAAATAGCACTTTTTTTTATAATTATCTCCAAATTAAACCTGCGCTTTTCTATTGAGTACACGAAAAATAATATGAAACGCGAAATTTTAATTTGATGCACACAATAGAAATACGTATCAAACTTCGTTAAATTCGTTTTTACAATTTAATTCAGATAATTCACGTAAATTTAGTTTTCAGGTTGTTTAATGCAGCATTACAATTATTATATTATAATATAAAGGTTGTACAACACATATTTTTAAATACATAATGAATTATAACAATAAAAATCAAAAATATTAGCGATTCTTCGTGCTTTTATGTTGAAATCCCAATAGTTCTACTCACCGAGTGACGTCACTGCGCGAACTGGTTTCATTTTGAGCCGCACGAGTATCATACCTAGAGAATTATTATATCATGTGATACCCCATCGATGACACATTTTGTTATTGATGAAGTTAAAGTTAACACAGTGTATGATCTTGGCCATTTAAGGAAGAATACCCACAATGCCATGCTTGTCAACGAAATTCGTTTTGAGGACCATAAATCAGCCAAATTTGAACATATTGTAACTGTTTTTGAATTAGATCAAAAGAATACATACAAAATTTTAC